CCAGGCCTCAGGCCTGAATAAACCCTGATTCTTGATTCCAGAGTGTGTTTGCTTCTGCATTGCCAGGCCAGGGGAACTGGACATTTGAGATTGACAAGCAAAGTCAATGGAGAAACCAGATTCACTCAACAACTGTGTTATTAATTTAACAACTTCAGTGACCCACTTAACAAATGTGGCAAGACAAGTTGTAAAATGGGGCAAAACTCATTTAACAAATTTCTCACTTAGCAACATAAATTTTGCATTCAATTGTGGTCGTAAGTTGAGGACTACCTATACAGATTTAAACCTTTTGAATCTATGTAACGTGGGCTTGGCTTGGATGGATATAATTAGTTGCATTGCAGAGAGAAGGCAGTGGGACTCATTCCTTCGAAATAATTTTGTGCCTTTTTGACTGCTGGTGACTACATGGAAAAATCTTCAGTTTTCTTCAAACTTTTTAAAGTGGTTTGCCTTTGCCTTCTTTTTCCTCCTAGGGCTGAGAGAGCACGACTGGCCCAAGGCCATTCAGCCAGCTTTGGCCCTAAGGTAGGATTAGAACTCATCATCTCTGGGTTTCTGGCTGGATGTCTTGATTAAACACTGTTCCAACTCTCCATTCAAAACCTAATCACCTGGATTAAAATTAATAGTTTTCTGTATTCAGTAAAACTGAGCCACTAAAACAGAAGTTCATAAGTTATTTCAGGTTTCTCCACATACTTCCATGATGGGTGCATTGACTTAATTGAAGCCCTACCCTTTCTCAAAATTGCTATGTTGTAGATGGGAAGGTTCTCTGAGGGATGCTGTGTCTAACTGATCTTGGCTAATCTCCAAATTGGGGGGGGCTAAATAAATCAGAACTCTAGTTTGAAAACTAGTTAGCTAGAAAATCTACATGGATAAGTTTTAGACTAGGTTAGAAAAACATTCTGAAGGACAGCAAACCACTTTCATGCTGTTGCTACCAAAATTACATGGCTGTATCCATGTTATTACCAGGAGTTGACCTCAACTGAAGAGTCTTTTTAGATCAGAAGAACGGAGCAGGGGAGTTCAAATAAACATGGCACTACTCAGAATCTTAAAAGGCTCTGGAAATATGTATTTTACAACATTGGGCCAAAATAGCCAAGGGAAGAGAGCTCCAAGACCACCTCAATAAAAACTGCTAATGGCATATACCTGTGTTTCTCAGCCTCGGCAGCTTGAAGATATCCGGACTTCAGTTGAAATCCACACATCTGCAAGATTCCATGGTTGAAAAAAAATGGTGTACACAAAGAAAAGATGCTGCTAGATTCCTATGGAAACTGGCCACTTTCCCAGGGAAGGCAGTTCCCGCCCATTAATACAAATTAGACTGGGGTTGTATATTCTAGCAGAAATAATGGAACTCCAAAGGGTGTTTGTTGAAGTCCTGCTATGGCAGGGGTGTCAAACGTCGTCACGGTGGCGTCATGTAATGTATCGGGACTTTTTCCCCCTTCGCTAAACTGGGTGTGGGGATAGCCAGCGTGTGACGCATCTGGCCCGCGGGCTGCAAGTTTGACAGCCCTGTGCTATGGTCTCAGTGTAAAATATTTCTCTATCTTTGGGCTATTTGGCTCTTCCGTAATATCACTGGTATAGTTACACTTGTGTTATAACCTCAGTGGGAGAGCTAGAATTTTGACCTCCTGTTTTCCTCAGGAATTCTAATTAAAATATCCCTGACCAGTGGTGGGATTCAAGTAATTTAACAACCGGTTCTCTGCCCTAATGATTTCTTCCAACAACCAGTTTGTCAAACTGCGCAGAAAGTTAACAACCGGTTCTCCCGAAGTGGTGCGAACTGGCTGAATCCCATCACTGTCCCTGACAGATTATTGATTGGCATCTGCTTCCCCACATCTAATGAAGAAGAGACCAATTCCACTTCTATAAATGATTGATTCCATTGCTAGCTTCTCTTCCTGTTAAGGAAGTTTTTAACGTACATTTAGCTGGAATCTGCCTTACCAAAATCTAAATCCCTTTTGTACTGCTTTCTAGATCTAGAAGAAATAAGATTGGTTCCCATCTTGATATTTTTCTAGAAAACCTTGAAAACGTCAGCAGATCTGGAGAGCCCAGATTTATATGGAGCTGATCAAGTGGCTGCAATGAGAGGTTGAGGATATTAGAAGTTTTATACTGTTGAATTTTTAACATTGTAAGCTGCCTGGAGTCAATGTGTGTGAACTGGACAAGCATATAAATTTCTTTAGTAAATAGATAAATTCAGGAATGATAGAAAATAGATCTTCCCATTCTTCTGTGTGACTTCATTTCAGATATTTGAAGAACACGATCAGATTCCCACTCTCATTTTTTCCCAAGACAAAATATATCCAGCTCCTTCAATGCTTCACTAGATTTAGTTTCATTCTCTTGTCTTTCTTTTAAACTACTTCAACTGCTCTTACTCCTTAGAGTTAGGTGCCCAGAATGCATACAGTACTCAAAGTGAGGTGACCAATACGAAGTATAGAGGAACTGTTCCTTTCTGTGCTTTGTAAAGTTTATTCTTGTAGATGCATTCTAAAATTACGTTTGCCTTCAAGGATATGTGTGTATGAGTATGAAAAAAGTTAAAAATGGTAAGCTACACCTGTGTGATTGAACAGCAATCTTTTTTTGTATATGATATGCACAGCAATACATGTAAGTGGTGGGGTTTCAATCACGTGATCCCAGTCGCCATCTTAACTGTTTTGTCTTCCCCGTGGATGCTTCATTTGCCTTTTTTGCCTGGCTGCATCATGATCTGATTTGAGTTCAGCTTGTGATCACCTGCAGTTTTATTTATACAGAATCAGATATTCATAATTATATACTTATGAATTTAATTTCTATTTTTTTGAGTTACTACTGTAGGGACTGTATTTCTTCAATAGTTGATTGATAGGACAATTTCTTTTAAAATTAAGGAATCTTTCTAAGAGTTACTTATTATGCAGTATTATCAGGAACAAATAGCAAATAGCATAATATTCAAGCCCTTTAAAAGAATATCTTTATAACCCCATGTTTTTTTAATGTTTTTATGGTTGCAATATCTATCTTTCACCAGCAGATGTCTTCAACCACCTAAAAATGATGCTGTGGCAAAGTTGAGAAACTGAAAAGGTGAATTTAAAAGTGCAGAATTCCCTTTTTAGTTTTTTTTTTTATTGAGGTTAAATTAATAAAAGCAAAGACAATTACATATGAAAATAATGCTTTCTGAAAAGTCACTGATCTTTTAGAAATTGGAAGATAAAAACAAATATGTAGCAAATTTGATAGGATAAGCCACAATTTGCAAATACAATCCCTGTTTATCAGATTTCATGTTTTCATAATTATGTAGGCAATTTTATATTTGATTAGCTCTTAATTTGAAATTCTATGCCTTTTGTAGCATTATTTTTCCATATCAAGACAAAAGAAGGTAAGTTTCTGCATATTATGAGGTAGCTAGTAGTAAAAAACAAAAGCACTGGGAGCAGTTGACTAAATAGGCTCTGAAGAAATATTGCTAGATTTACCCCTCACATTAAGCCATGGTTTATTTTAACCATGGTTAAGGGAGCCTTCATGACAGAATGCATACATCATGCAAAACTACAACCCATGATAGACAAATTGCTAATTTGCATAACACCCTAACATTAGACCAGCTCAAGGTTGACTCAGCCTTCCCTCCTTCCGAGGTCAGTAAAATGAGGACCCAGATTGTTGTGGCCAAGAAAGATTAACTCGGTCTCCAAGCAGTGAAGCAGAGTATTATCCATTCCTGGATGATCTTCCCCGACACAATGGCGAGATGCTGACTCTATAAACCGTTTAGAGAGGGCTGTAAAAGCACTATGAAGCGGTATATAAATGTTATTGCTATTAGATAAATTGCATTATGCTAAGCACAACATAGCCATTCCAGTCTCACATACAAAAGGGTTGGATTTCAATTGTGTCGTTGTGGTCACCAAACCACACAATTTTAAAAATTGTTCTGGGGATGCTGCTGCAGATCCACATAATGTCCATCTTAAAACTGATGCAAAAGGCAGTACAATTTAAAGGAAGATTTTTTTTTCCACACCAACTTTCAAATGTTAATAAGTAATAGGTGCCTTGGGTGCAATCCCAAAACAACTGGAGCACCACTTAAACACCATCAACACTGTCAACATTACTATCCGTCAATTGCGAAAAGGCAGCTTTGCTCAGAACAGCTTACATCCTGCAACTATACCTTTTAAGATCATCAAGCATCTGCCCATTTGCCTATCCCAGGTCCTTAATAGGTGGACTCAATAGGTGGACAAAACTGCCAAATCTAGCCTGAATATCTCACTGGCTATGCAACAAACTTTAATACTACATAATACAATCTATTGGAGACTTTCAGTGAAGACAGGAACTGTATTAGTCTGTTCATTCACCAGTATGGAATTCCTTAAGATTTCTGTTTTTCATTCCTGGCTCAATATGGCTACCAAGCTAGAAAAGGGATTTCATTACAGTCCGACTTATAATTCTTGGTTTCTCATTCCCCAATATTTTGGCAAAATTGTATACTAGTGATTCTGAATTTGAAATATTCCAAATCTTTGGAATATAAGCAGCATCATAGGGAAAAAAAAAACCACCATAAACTTGAAGCTGATGTCCAAGCATGAACAGAAAACATCTAAGTTTTGTAGAAAAATGTCTGTGGAGATTCTCAATCATTCAGGTCATGGTGCCTTTTTTCAAGAGGCAACTGGACTTCCTTGTTTTTTTCCCCTTAAAACGTTTACTTCTCATCCTAAAAGCTGAACTGAGGAAGCTTCTTGGATAAGAAGTGAAATGTTTTCAAGGAAGGAAAAAAACAAAGTCCAGTTGCCTTTTGAAAAGCACCTTTGGGACGATTTCGTAGATAAATCTTCGGCAGAATTAGTTTAACAAATTATTTAAGCAAAGTAATAATTTCTAAAACAAACAAATGAAACATAAAACATCCACCAGACCTTTCAAACATTTTAATACATTTATTGTGGCAGGTAAAACTTAGGAACATAATTAAAAGAGTCAGAATAGAAAAATTAAAAAAAATGTTATCAAATTAAAAGCGTGAATGATTTATTGGTTTTGTTCAACTAGATCTGGAGATATGTCAGTTCAGAGTCCTGGCTAGTATGAAGTTTATTTGGTAATTAAGGGAACTATTTGCTTCCCTTAGTATAGTAAGAAAGTGTAGATTTGGGGGAAAAAAAGGTGGGGGAAATAAATGATGAGCCTTTCCTTCAGGTTGGAGGAGTGTATGTCCAAGCAAGGAGTGGGCAGTTGAAGACTTTTCCTTAATCTTGCACTCAAAATGAGCCCTCTGTAAAGTCAATGGTTTGTGCATGCATTGATATAAATCACAGTATGGTAAGAGTCACGAGAAGGGCATTGGGCTTTAGTGCTTCTTTCCTTGTATAGTCAGCACTTCCAGAGCAATGTAGTTGACTGGCTGCCTTCAGTGCCTTTGGTCCAAGTGGCTTATCAGCTAGAATAACTAATGTGACTTTTTGTGTCAGCTATTCAGTTCAAAACTTTTATTACTTACTGTAATGCGCCAAAATAAAATCTGATACTTAATAAAGCTTTTCCCACGTAAGCAAACTTGACGCTGCAGATGGTCATGGGGATCTTCTCACACCAGAGCGGTGTTCCTTGTGCTGTTGTGGAGCAAAATTTTGCCACAGAAGAGGCAAAGGTTTTAAGGTTTTTTTCAGTTGTCAGGTAGCTAATATAAAACATTTCAGTACAACCAGAAATATTTTTAAATACTGGTTGGAGAAGTCATCGTCTAACATTGGAGGAAAAAAGGCTCAGTGCAGAAAAACTTGGGATCTCACTGGGCCTGATCCAGATAGGCTTCCAGGAATTTGCCTTCCAGCTAAGGGAGAATGTCTACTATGTACCCAATTTCTTATTCTTCCCTGTAATCGGACACTAATTTATACTCCTCTGAATTTCTGGGCCATGGAACAAAATAGTAGCAAAAGGCAAAGTTCCAGAGTTTGCAGGCATGAATTGCTGTTAGCTAATAAGACAGAAAATGACATCTGAGATATGGGAAAGGAGAAAGCAGAAAGAAAAGGCTCAAAATTACCATGCTGTGATTTGGATGGTAGTAAGGGGCAGCAGAAGGGAATTTGGACAGGTTTTTCAAATTCTATTACACCCTACCACAACTTTCCCCTCCACTTTTAAGATGTATGGACTTCAATTCCTCCCCTGCCAGCTTGCGTGTGCACACACGGGCACACACAGTATGAGAGAGATAATTCAAAGCCACAGTTTAAAAGCTGTGTTTCAGCAGAACAGTAGAAACTCAAATGCTTCATTGATGATGATTGTTGTTATGGCATCAGGCTAGAAACTGGGAGACTGAATTCTAGTCTCACAAAGCCAGCTGGATGACCTTAAGCCAATCACTTTCTCTCTTAACCCTAAGAAGGAGGCAAGGGAAAACCACTTCCAAAAATCCTTCCCAAGAAAACTGCAAGCACTACTCCAGGCAGTGAAAAGGAATCAACACTGACCAGAAGGAAAAAATATCCCCCAAAACAAAAATTGTCCCACGTAAGAAACACACTAAACTTGCCCAAGGTTTAAAACCTTAATCAGAAACCTGCTATCACAGTAAAAGCTGACACTCTCTGTGATACTTGCCTTTTCTATGGATTGTTCTTTAGAAGTGGTACATGTAACTCTTTTGTTTGCCTTCAGCTATTTTTTAATTATATCTCTTAGTTTCCATTTTTTTAACATTAGTGTTCTCTGTTGAGATTTTAGAATGCCAAAGGCAAAATGCTACGAAGATAAGACATATCAGAGTCATGGTATGAAGTTAAGAATTTGTTCTTAAATAGAAAAATCTCAAACATACAAGGAAGAGGGAGAATGTGTAAGCTTTTTCTTAAATTAAAAAAATACAGAAAGTTGCATTTCGGACACAGATTAGCCATCTAATCTCCCTAGAAAGGCACAGAAGTCTATCGCAAAAATAAAAAGTGTTTTTTGTAGGACACTCTTGTATACAAAACAGAAAACCCACTCATTTTGCTTGCATATGCTGTTTAAAAAACCCCTGGAGATGCAATTTTACCCTTCCCCTCAAAAATGGCCACAAGACTTAACAAATGCAATTAGTATAATTGAACTGCTTTGTTATAAATTATATACATTCAGACCACATTAAAATTATTATTCCATGTTACACCAAAGTAGTAGTTAAGGCTTTATGATATTTACATGAAATGAGCAAGCACCTTAATCACACACACCATTAACTTATTCCTTCTAACATTCAAATTTGACAATGACCAATTTTCTATAGCTATTTTAAACATTTTGGAAGAGGAATCATACTGAATAAAATCAATCACTGAACGCTACATGATCCAATGGAAGTAATTTAAGTCTGACATTTGTGCAGAACACAAACTCTGTCCACCTTCACTTCCATCCCAAACTGCTACCAAGTTAGCTGTAGGCTGATACAGCAATGGCCTGCTCAAATATCAAGGAATGGAACACTTATTTTAGGAGACAGTCAGCTTTAAGTAACCCTAATGAACTAGGATGAGACTCCCAAATATTCTATTGCACGCCACATGGACAATGTTTTGATATGATAGCAAGATGAAGCAACTGGAAGGATGCACCAAACACTAAGTGCATTAAAGTGATGACAATACCTTTCCCTCCAATTCTCATATAGCAATGCTGAATTTGTTCTTTAAAAACCCGGGAGCTGGCTTGCTATCTTTGCCATTCCATATGGCCTTAAATCATTTTCAGAGTGGGAATTCATGTTGATACAACACATTACCGTGCCAATGACAAATGTTACTAGGAAGGTACACTGCCTTCTCCAACTAATGGCTTTGGAGTGTCAAGGATGACAGTGTTCAATTATCAGCAAATGTGGCTAACAGAAGGTGCTCAGTAACAAACGAGAATAATCCATTTGCATTTTCAAGTATTGTTTTGAGGAGTGAGTCTTTTAACTGTAGTCTGTTAGCACTTTTAAAAAAGCTTTGTGCTTTAGTCCATTATCTTTCTGCAAGTCTTTTAATTTGGCTGATGGCTTTTTTTTTCTTTTAAAAAAAATTGGCAACAGGTTTTCACAACAGCAGAAGCCTGGCAAGGGTTATTTTATTTTCTGGGCCCATTTCATGTCATCTGCTCTGGGTTTTTCTCCTGTTAGTCCTTCAATGATATTCTCCAGGAATCTCCAAAATCTGATTTTTTCCAGTGGGTAGTTCAGCCAGCCTAGAAAGATTACAGAAGAAGAGCAATATGTGAGTGTAAATTGGCAAGCAGCAATTTTTGGGAACTGAATTGTTTTAAGATACTATTGCATAAAATGAATGTAAGAAATAAAGATGTCAATTTAACAGAAGAAAGATGCAATTTTCAGTTTTATTCACATTAAGTGGAATTGTTTTGAACTTATTCCTCTGACTACTGAAACCCATCCAAGAGCATTCTATAAAGCCATTTAGAATGGCAGCCTTTTAATGATAAACTTCACACATTAAAATAACCCCTGGTTTATCTAAGATCTGTTAAACTCAGACTCTGAATGAGTTCAGTCTATAAGTTTTGTTTTGGGTTAAAATGTGAAAAACCATTCATAAGCTATGATTCATAGCTTAGCAGACTGTGCATACCAGACTGACACATTTAATAAACCATGACTTACAATGAATGTGAACCAATCTGAAAACTGCAGTTCAATTTAATAGGTATAGCCTTCTTTTTAGTCAATTCTTATTTTCCATTATTTATTTTCTCCTGTCTTTCATCTCTGTGTAGCCAGAGTCCAGAGAAGGACATGAAACAGAACAGGAAAACACTAAGTAAGCAACAACAGGAATACTCAGCCGTTGTTTTTTTTTTCTTTTTCTTTTCAGAACCTTACACAGATCCACCAGTTCTGTGTGTCTTAAAAAGGCTGTTTAGCTAGACAAAAATTTTATAATGAGTTTCACTTCATTTTACCTGTAGTAATACAGAAATATGTCTCATGTGGAGACACATGGTGGATCCGGTGGTGTTTCCGTGGCAGGATAATGTGCCAGTCCTGCAGAAAAATTACCCAGCGAGGAAGACCAAAGTAGGTATGAGACCACTTGTGAATCTGGTTGGTCAAGGTTGCAAATACAGACAGGGCAAAGACATAGCACTCCCAAGGACATGATTGGTGTAACACTTCTAAAAATAAAGAGAATATAGAATTTATTGTACTCTCACTGAACAACAGCTAAACCGTGTGTTACAATACAGCTGCTTAATAAGTTCATGCACTGTGCTCCGATTTGCACGACAGACATACAGAACTGTCTACTCTATTTGTTGTTTGCCCTTACACTTTTATTTTACTCCATATACAAGGTGAAAAACTTCATTAACCTTTTATTCTGCCCCAGCTACAGACCGCAAAAACGCAGCACACACAAAGTCTGTACAATTCTTAGTTTACTAAATTAAATCAGTCTTTTTCAAACAAAGGCTGTTAATTAACTTTCTTAACAGCCTACAAGAATCAAAAAAATAAATAATCGTAATCTTACTATGGCTGGCAGAAAGACCAGAAGCAATTTGCAGAGATCTAAGATCAAGACGCAAAGGAGAGTGAACGAAGTTGTTCCCTGCAAATTGCCTCAGTTGTCGTGCTTCCTTAAATAGGCTAAGGGAGTGGCCAATTAGCCCCAAGCCTTACTCTCGAGGAGACCTCCTCCTGAGGAGCCACTCCTGCCTTTTGGCAGTTCTGTGCGCTCGTGCATCGAGAAGAGGCTCCTCCTCTTCTTCCTCTTCACTTATGGGAGCTTCTGGAGGTTCTGAAGGCCCTGGCTGAATCCCCGCCTCTGGCACAACATCTTCTCCAGCCTCCTAATTGTCCAACTCAAGTGCCAGCTGCACAGGCTGCTGACGCAGCACCACACCTGCCTCCTCGCTGTCGGAATCAGCTACTAGCTGCACAGGCCGCTCACAGGCCACAATACCTTTTTTCGGAAATATGCATAGAATTAACTCTATTGTCTTCAAAGGCCTGTTTACTATTCTTTAGAAGGCTATGTCTAGTTTCCTCATGGATCTGTCAGGCTCCCACTTACCTGGTGATAAAGAAGCTAATTTGTAGGCCATGTTTGCCAGCAGAACTACTGTTAACATGCAGTTATCGCCATTGGTTTCTATGAAGTCATGCCTGGTAATTGCTGTTGGATCAATGTGATGTTCTCTGAAAGGCCTAATAAATGCCTGAAAGTAGTAAAAAGCAGAAAGATAAAACTTTTGTTTTTAGCTCAGATTAAGTCTTAGCACCTACAGATTTTATTGATCTACTCATGCACATACCTAGATAGATAATTTGGGTTGGTATTTGCAGGGGAATGTCCAAAAAAATCAAGATGAGAGGGACAGTTAAAGCCCTCACTCTTCGTATGTGACCCCAATGGGACATCAGAACTGCCAACTTGACCCCAGCTAGATTTGTGGATTAGAGAAGAACCATCATCCCGTCCTTATCAGGATTTTGACCATAGACAAGCCAGCATATATTAAACAGTTATCTAAAGCAACATAGGAAATTAAAAGCAGCACTGGAGTGAGTAAAATGATTTTATATTAACTATCACTTTATTGCATTATCAGCCCAAGTCTGTAATCTTTTTACCTCCTCAGTGAGAGTACCATGCAAGCAAATAAATGGAATATTAAAAGCTAGCCATAAAGCATATCTTATAGACAGCTCTTTGGTTTTTCTTATTTATCCATCTAGAATGTTTAATTCAATACTGTTTGTATGTGGGCTTTAATATAGTAAACCAAGTTTATTAAAATTGGAATAAGAGGTGGGGAGGGGGGAAATGATCTGAAAAATAAGGCACTGGCATTAGCCGTAATTAAGATTAAAATCTGCAATATCATAAACGAGTCAGCAGACTAGGAAATACACCCAAAATGTAATCTGCTATTATTCTTAAATCATAAACTGTGGACAAGCTAAACACTTAAATAAACAACACTTAAATAAAATGCTTCAATATAAACTAGCATAGTTTAAATTCACAAAAATCGGTGAGGCAAAATATGGTTTGTTAGTTTGTGACTATGTTATGCAAAGACAAGCAATGTTGTTTTGTTATGTTGATTCAACTGTTACTTATTTACTAAACTAGCTATGCTAACCAGGGCTGAATGTTATGTGGAAACAGCCAAAAAGTGACAATTCAGGTTTGGCTTAGCTTTAAAATATCATAAAAGCAACCTGTTTAATCGATGATGGATTGGTTCACATATCACAACAAAACATTAATGAAGTGTTAGTGAATGTACACTTGCTTTCCTTCTCTTTGTGCTTGCATTTCCATCCTTGATTTACAGGTTTGCTATGACATTTGAATAAGAGATTAGTTATAAATCATCATTACCGTATTTTTCAGAGTATAAGATGCACTTCTCCCCCCCTAAAAGGGGGTGAAAATGTAGGTACGTCTTATACACCAAATGTAGCCCCGCCCACCCACTGGCCCCCACCCTTTGGCCTCTGCCTTGCAGCAGTTATCTCCTTGCAAGCAAACAGCAAGAAAAAACAGCTCCTTTCAGCTTCAGCACAGCCTAATTAGCACAAGTTGATTGGATCAGCCTCCCGACTCAGCTGATTTGCTCTCAGCTGTTTTACTCAGGGCTCTGCTGCTTGCTGCAAAGAGGTAGTAAATTGCTGAAGCAGATTTTTTTTTCCTTCTGCTAATCAAGCTATGCTGAAAATGAAAATTAAAGTAAAGCAGGCTATTTGCTGTAACGAGGCAAAATTGCTCACAGGCAGAGGGAGATTTCTTTTTCTTCTTTTCCTCACCAAAAAAGGTAGATGCGTTTTATACTCCAAAAAATATGGTAATCTCCAAGACCATGGTTTGCTTAACTTTGGTTAACTCAGGGGTGAAATCCAGCAGGTTCTGACAGGCTCTGGAGAACTGGTAGCGGAACTTTTGAGCAGTTTGGAGAACCGGCAAATACCACCTCTGGCTGGCCCCAGAGTGGGGTGGGAAAGGAGATTTTGCAATATCCTTCCCCCAGGAGTGGAGAGGGAATGGGGATTTTGCAATATCCTTCCCCTGCCATGCCCACCAAGCCACGCCCACCAAGCCACACCATGCCCACCAAGCCATGCCCACATAACTGGTAGTAAAAAAAATTGGATTTCACCACTGGGTTAACTCAATAAGATGCAATTATCTAGTTTCACTACAACATGCTATGTCACAAGCTGCAGTTTATGTCAATTATAGTTTAGCACGATTTATCTAGTCTAAGGCACATTATGATTTAGCACAGTATGTGAACTCCAGTAGAGAATTTTCATCAACTATTATTTATATTGAGTATATTGAACTAATAAGCTCAACTAGTAAGTTCAACACACATACCACACACACACACACACACACATACAAGAAAAAAAAAAGTCAGACCTTTCCAACTATTGGCAGATCTACCGATCCCCAAGTATCTGCTCCCCAGTGCACTAAACCGGATACGAAGTCAGCAGTAATGACTCCTGCAACTTTAAGAGACAAAGGGAGGGAGGGATAGAGAGAAAGAAAGGTGAATTATTAGACATTTGGAACAATACAAAGATGGTGATTTTGAAAGAATATCAATAGAAGACAGGTACTGTTTTGACAGATGTGTAACAGTCAGTAGTGGTGATGCTTTTCCAAAATAGCTTCACAATAAGCCATTCAAACAGCTAGCAGCACCTGGACAACCGTACTGCATAGGCTTAGAAGCGTAGCAAGGGTGGGTCTAATCAGTAGTTGTAGGGGAGATCACCAAGGATTACCAGGATAACGGACTAGACTGAAAAGCTAGAACAATATCCTAGACCACGGGTGTCAAACTCGCAGCCCGCGGGCCAGATGCGTCACACACTGGCCACGCCTGTGCCAGGTTTAGGAAAGGGGGGGGGGAAGTCACGATAAGTCACATGACGACGACGTGAGTTTGACACCCCTGTCCTAGAAGATGACAATGCCAAGGCCCTTCTATATTGTCAAGAAAAACCACATGTCTATAAGGTCCCCAACAATCAAACTAGAATCAAAGAACAACTTAATTTTGATCACTACAAACCATCTGCCTTTTCAAAGTCCAAAGGTAGTCAATTAAAATACTGCAGCCTATTTTGTAAATGCACAACTAAGCTTTTGGAAGATGTTATTCCCCAACTTCATAGCCACTCCTAAGTATAAATAAGCATTTCCAAAATGCAACACACTTACATGCTTATTTTTCATAGTCCTTACAGTACACTATATATTAAAGTCTCTTCTGAGCTGGGATCTTGGTGACTTCATAGACACCTTGTCATTTTTGTGGCAACAACATTGAAGCAATCTCCCATTGTTTTTTTCTGGGATATTTTTCTTATTTCTACCTATTCAGGTTCTAGGACCGTGATGGCGAACCTATGGCGCACATGCCACAGGTGGCACACAGAGCCATATCTGCAGGCACGCGAGCCGTTGCCCTACCTGAGCTCCCCAGCTGGCCTGACCCACACCGTCCCTCCCCTCCCAGGGTCTCGAGGCAGCCTGTTTTGGATGCCAGATAAGTACAGGGCTCGCGCGAAGGCTCTGGGAGGGCATTTTTGGCCTCTGGAGGGCCTCCAGGGGGGTGGGGGAGGTGGTTTTCATCCTCCCCAGGCTCCAAGAAAGCTTCTGGAGCCTGGGGAGGGCCAAAAATGGGCCTACCAGGTCTACCAGAAGTCTGGAAATGGGCCGTTTCCAGCCTCTGGAGGCTTCAGGGAGATCTGCTGTGTGTGCATGCGCGGGGGAGTGGGGCACAGGGGGCATTGAAATATGGGTGTGGGCACACGCGCGCACGACCCCTCTGCGCCCCCCCCGCTTTTGGCACACGACGGCAAAAAGATTAGCCATCACTGTTTTAGGATGTATTTTGAATTGGTTCATACTTCCTTCACAGGCAATGATAAATAACTGGTTTGATCTTGCTAGGAGTGACAGACTTTTGGCAAACAATGCAACAATAAAAAAAAAAACATTGAATCAATGACTAAATAATTTAGGTATGACTAAAACACATGGTTTGTTGAGAAAGCTTACTGTGCAGGAAATAAATCACTGAGCTATTGGGAGGTACTGAGAGCTTATGCACCAAAGACAAATTCCTTGTGTGTCCAGTCACACTTGGCCAATAAAGAATTCTATCTATCTTCTATCTAAATGTGATTTTAATTGAATCTGGCCACCCATTATCAAACAAGAGGATTAACAATTGCTAGGTTTCTCTCAAGGTTTATCTTAAAAACTTTTAAAAGCACTTGTCCTGCCCTTAGTATAATGTATATATACATTATACAGAACCTCTTCCCAATGAAAGCTTGCAAACATCTTCAAGAACAAAGCAGCACTGTGTTCATTTTGAACTGTGCGGCAGTGTTTCACCATCTTGGCAACCTGAAGATGAGTGGACTTTAATTTCCAGAATTCCCCAGCGACTAGAGCAGTCCCTATGACCAGAGGGCTGGAGCTCATGTGATTTCCCCAAGCAGCTGATTCACTCTGTGATCTAGCCTAAGTACTCTATAATAGTAATGTAACTCTTCGCTTATAAGGACAATTAGTCAGATTTTGATCAGAGAATAGCAACCAGAATAGTCTTAAGGTTTATACAGATCGCTTGACTCAAAATAGGATTTATTAAACAGCCCTAGCAGAAAAAATTAAAATAAAGCAATGTGGAAAGGAATTGTTTCAGCTTCTGTAAGATACTGGGCTGCCCTTTATCATTTCTGTGTGTGTGTGTGTGAATGTCTGTTGGTGTGTGTGAATGTCTGGAAGTCCAAATTACAGGTGATCATTACGCAGCCATAACAAGCTTGCTTCAAAAGCCATAAATAGCCATCAGCCATCTTCATATTGTAGAATTATTTTGTTATTAAAAATCTGAAAACTAAATAGGACCAGAGATTGGTCAGCAAACACGTTACTTTTAAAATAAAATAAAGTGCTCTAGTCCAGGGGTGTCCAACTTTGGCAACTTTTAAGACATGTAGACTTAAACTGCCCATGCTGGCTGGGAATTCTGGGAGTTGAAATCCACAAGTCATAAAGTTGCCATGGTTGGACACCACTTGACTTCTAGTCATTATGAAACTTACTCTTCCTAACAGCACAACTCATTCCAAGAAGGAAGCTGGTGTTACTGGAAAGTTCCTTGTAGGCTAACAGATCCATAACAATGGGTGGATTTTCAAATTTTGCTACTCGGAGAAAATATAATTTCCTGCTTTCGCATAATTAAACGTCCATTTAGTTTGGTCCTAATACAGCAGTTACGAAGGCTCTAGTTTTTTTTTTTTTTTCATGTTCAGATATGAAAAAATCCAAACATAGCTTTTGAACAAAAAATTCTCTTCCATTTAGGCTATTTAACTGGGACATAAGAAAGATGATTATTAGCAAAACTTCAGGTCAGGGAAAGAGGCAAGGAGACAAGAGGTTACTTATAGCTATGTGCAGCATTTACTTTAGCTATCTGCAGAAATGAATAACACAAATTGGACTGTTTTCTTATAAAGTCCCCCCTCCCATTTAAGGGGGCCACTGCATCTAAAGCAGAACTTGTGAACCAAACTTTTGCAGGTCCTCTGATCCCCATCAAAACAAGGGGATGCACAAATACAAATCTATACAAAATAATTTCCTTGCAGAATTATATCAGACAAGTAAGATGTCCGAATATTTTTTTCTCACTCTAAAATGTTTCTGAAGGACAAAGCACAGAATTGTTTTGAATGCACTGAGTAAAAGTAAAACATGAAGTCTAAACATGGGTTCCAGAATCAGGACTGGAGCCCAAGGGAAAGAGTTAAACATGCTTGAAAAAGAAGTCACATGATATTGGCTGCAAATATGATTTTATCAGAGCAGATTCCCCCCCACCCCCGACTGTAATGCCAAATACTTCTTTTGTCAAGTTTTGATTTATGGTTTCATGTGTCACTATTTGTTGGTGCCTTGCATGTAGTAAGTGATGTAAAAATGGAAAGAGATTACAAAATCTCGCAATCCACTCTAATAAATTTTCTGCAGAGCAGTTCAGGTAATTATGAAATCCTGCAATCAGATGTTAGCAAACATAAACAAACAAGAGTCAAGAGAACCCATGATGATACGAGGCAATTATGACACAATTTGGTTAGGACAGAGTCATACTCTCTTCTGGGAACTACACCTGCAGTATATAGGGCTCTAGATCAGGGGTGAAATCCAAAAATTTTTCCTACCAGTTCTGTGGGAGTGGCTTGGTGGGCAAGGGAAGGATATTGCAAAATCTCCATTCCCACCTCACTCCAGGGGAAGGATACTGCAAAATCTCCATTCTCTCCCCTCCTGGGGGAAGAATATTGTAAAATCTCCATTCCCACTCTGGGGCCAGCCAGAGATGGTATTTGCCGGTTCTCCGAACTATTCAAAATTTCCGCTACCGGTTCTCCAGAACCTGTTAGAACCTACTGGATTTCACCCCTGCTCTAGATTCATGTTGCCTGCTAACCCTGGTGGAAATGTTTAAGTGCTAAATTAGAAAAACATTCCAGAAATATCCCAAAGCTACCATCAATCTTTGAAGGGAGATAGGAAAATAAAATTGGGGATTGCTGGAGTTATAGTCCAATTTATTTCGGCAGCACTTGGCTGGGAAAGGTTGCACCCAAAACTGGGAAGAGACAGGTGACATGTTTATCTTACAGAACTGGAAATGGTATCAGCTATGTTATCAGGCAGTAGCTAAGTCAGGAATGAGGCCACCACAGTCATAAAAGCTTAGCAGGGGACAAAGTTACAGGAACACACCTTGTTCTAAACAAGGCACCTCCTGCTTTCTATATCCTCTTCCAGATTAAGCCTCTGCTTTTAGTCTCGCTTGCCTGGAACATGTTGCAACATCATGGGTCTCTAGGCAAGCTAACTACAGAGCATCACATGCTAAATTCTGAAGATGTCACAAATGCTTCACCTTTGCTGTGGAGGAACAGAAAGAAATGGAGTTCTTTGAGTGCTGATCTGGCATGGCACATCAGAAAGCATCTGGATACCAAAGCATCTGCACTGTTCTCAAAAGGTAATGCTTGAAATTTGACCAAGTCCTCAATGTATGACCACAATTGAGCCCAAACTTTATTTTGTTAAGGGAGACGTTTGTTCAGTGAATTTTGCCCCATTTTACAACCTCTCTTGCCTCAGTTGTTAAGTGAATCGCTGCAGTTGATAAAGTTGATAACGAGTGAAATGCTCCCAGATTGGATCGGATCACTTGATCCGGTAGCGATTTTCCCCTGTCGTTCGGTGATCCGGTAGCGATCGCCGCCTGGGTGTCATTACTTCCTGGTTATAACCAGGAAGTAATTTTTTTTACATGCGCAGAAGGTGTGCGCGCGCCCGTGACATGCGCATGCGCTTCCGAACCAGTAAGGAAGGTAAATAGATTTCACCCCTGGTTTGTAACCCAGTTGTTAAGTGAACCTGGCTTCCCCATTGA